GGGGGATCACCCCAAGGTGACCCTCACAAGATCCCCAGGGTAACCCCCCCAAGACCCCCGGGGTGAGCTCCCAGGATGACCCTGCTGCAGGACCTCGTGGTGAGGGCAAATGGGACTCTGGGGGGACCCCCCAAGTTGATCTCCCTAAGGTGGCCCCTCCACAGTGACCCCCAGCCCCATGGCAACCCCAAGGGGATCCCCACAGGGTGACTCTCAGCCCCTTGGCAACCCTGGTGTGACCCCCTGCAATGTGTGACCCCCCTCCCTCCTGCCCTCCCCACTGCAGCCCCTGGAGTGACCCCCAGTGCCTGAGCCCACAACAACCCAAGGGTTGGCCTCCAGTCCCTTGCAGCCCCCACAGTGACCTCCCCAGGGGTGACCCCACCAGAGGGGACCCCCCCACAGTGTGTGAGCCCTATGGCCGCTCCAGGGGTGACCCCAGTCCCACTGCAGCCCCCAGGGTGACCCCCAAAATATGAGTCCCACTGCAGCCCCAGAGGTGTCCAGCTGCAGGGTGCTGGGGTGTCACCCCCACTGCAGCCTCTGGGGTGACCCTCAACACAGACCCCCACTGTAACAGGCCAGGATGAGCCCCCCTCATATTCCTGAGCCCACCCCCAAATCCCCAGGACCCCTCCAAAATCCTGAGAGCTCCCAAAACCTTTGGGACCTCCCAGTATTCCTGAGCTCCCCTAAAACACCTGGTATCCCCCCTAAATTTTTGATGCCCCTACAAGCCGTGGGATTCCCAAAATCCTGAGTGCCCCGAACCTGCTCCCACAGGAGCAGAAGGAGCAGCTGGCAGAGCTGGGGACGCAGCTGGGGGGTCTCGCCCGCCGTGCCAGGACCATCGTGCAGCTGAAGCCGCGGAGCCCCGGGACCCCCCTGCAGGGCCGGCCCCCCATCCAGGCCGTCTGCGACTACAAGCAGATGGAGGTGGGGGGGTCACGGGGACTGGGGTGGTGCAGGGGGGAGGTGGGAAGATGTGGGGGGTGTGGTGGGACCAGCATGCCAGCCTGACAGGGGGTCCGTGGGGGGACACGGGGGGACACGGGATGATCCACACGCTGGTCTGACACCACTCTGGGGGACGTGGGGAAATACGGCGGGTCCCCCACCCCGCTGTCCTGCTGCCCCAGTCCCATGAAGGGACACAGGGTGGCCCCCCACCCCCTTCTGATGCCACCCCAGCCCCACTGGGGGCTGTAGGGGGGACACTGGGGGCCACCCACCCCAGTCTGAGACCACCCTGGTGCCATGGGAGGACACTGGGGAATAGGAGGGGCCAGCGGGACCCCCCTATCTGGTGCTGCCCCAGCCCCATGGGGGGACACAGGGGCGGACATGGGAGGGGGACACTGGGGACCGCCTGCCCCATGGGGGGGACATGGAGGAATATGGGGAGACACAGGGGAATGTGGGGGGACACAGAATGCACATGGAGGAGCCCCACCCTGCTCTAACTCTGCCCCAGCCCCATGGGGGGACACGGTGGGGGACACAGGGGTCCCTCAGCCCAGTCTGACACCATTCC